TATGCTTCTGTGATAAGCACAGCTGTGTTCATTAAATATTTGCCCTACATCAGGCTCATATGCATTATACCACTGAATCCTTACAACACCCGGGAGACAGGTATTATAATACCCATTTTGCATACAAAGAAAACAAAGCTCAAAGAAATGAAATAAATTACCAAAATTTACCAAGTCAGTTTCCATACTGACTCCAAAGCCTGTCACATTCCAAACCACATACACCATTTTGCCTCCCACTTATCCATAATTCATCTAGTATCTCCTGTGGGGGTTTCAATGAGAGTCAGGTAATGAACTTAGCCCAGGGGCTGGTAGATGGCAGGTGCTTGGTAGATGGTGGCAGTTGATCACTGTCATCACTACCTGTTGATGAAACTAATAGTTCAGTAAGCAAACAGGAAAACACTTTGCTCCCTGTCCTACTCAGAAAGAGCACATCCTTAGGTTCTTCTTAGCTTCAGTGACAAGCAGGGACTCTGTTCTCTCCCAGGCCTCCATGACACTCACTCCTTTAGTAGATCCTGAGGCAGCATGGCAAATTTGCTCCAGCCAAGTATGGATTCAAAAGAGTGAACTGGGGAGGGGGGCGGCACCATCACATCTGGAAATCTCAGCTGCATCTCTGTGTGCTTCCTTTCAGAGTGATCCAGAGGTGGTTTGTTTCTAAAGAAGAAAAAAAAAAAAAAAAACAGAAGGAACTCTCTAAAGAACTCTCTTTGAGCCCATTTCTTCTAACAATATTCCAGCCTGACATGTGAAACTCCTTGTTTCCAGTCCCATTCTAGCCATTCCCACATCCTCTCCACCATGAGGGTCACTCCATTCTCCCCTCACAGGCTCTCAACCCTATTATTGTACTTGGATCATACAGAGCTTAATTGTTTTCATTGTTTTGATTTTCCAAAGGGGTAATAATTTACTCATTCATCAAACTAATAAATAAGTATTGTCTATCTATGTGCCAGGCACAGGGATGTCAACGATGACTGAAATGGACCAGGACAGTACACTCCTGGACACAGTGATCTATGACTCTGCGACTTACTCAATGTCGCATTTACCCATAAGTGGTAGAGTTAGAGTTGGAAGCCCAGGTCTTTTAACTCCTGGACCACTGGAATTTTATTCCATCACATTTTGGCTCAGTTTTTAACTAACCAATAAGTTCCCCTGACTACCCAACAGATCCTCCTGTCACCTCTTCAAGGAGCTCTTTTACTTCCCTACAGAGAACACTTAGGAAAAGGAGTCTGAAGAAGTTTGGTTAATATTCCTAAAGCAGGGTTTTCTTCTGCAGATTCTGTTCATTCAGAGAGAAAACAAAGGTGAGGGTCGGGGAGACTAGAAAGGAAGACAAAAATAAACCATACAGAGGAACGTCGTGAGGGTTGGGACAAAAATCAAACTCACATACATGGAATTTACCAAGTCATACAGAATTAAAAAGAAGCAAAGGGAATCCCTAGGAAGATGTTGGGAATGATCCAAGGATAGTAAGTGTGAACATAGAGAACAACCAGCTCTGACTGGAGCAGACTAAAGGGGTCCAAGGAGAAATCCCTGTATGCTGATGAAATTATAGTAAGTCCAAAGCATCTGCACATCTTAAGAGAAATTTTTTTTCAAAAATAAGAAAGTTTTTCAAGACACAACAAATAGCATTAACAAACATCCAAATGCCAGAGTAAGAGTTTACTGGATTTTATAAAAGATAAAACTGCATTCAGGTAACATGGGTACAACATATGTTTGTTGAAGAATTCATTACGAGTTTGAACTTA